TCAGGACCAGACCTGGACGCTGCAGCAAACACCTGACCCGACGCAGCTACCTGACCAGACGCAGTGACTGGAGGAGACGCAGTGGTCAGTGTGTACAGGCTCGACCCCGACCGACGTGTAAATGTGGCCAGGTGTCGGCCTGTCCGAGCGTCCGTGCAGTGGGTCACCCGCTGACTCGCAGGAGTGAACTGGTGAACCCCCGCATCCTGTAGGTCAGCACCACTCACCAAGTTCGTAGAGAACGAGGGGAGGTAAAGACCAGACAGGGTGCCAGAGGGGGCCGCCGGACACGGGAGGACAGTGGAGAAGTGAGCAAGGACAGGACCCCCAGAGGGGTCTGCCAGAGAGACTGCAACTGGCCGGCCAAGCGGCGTGAGTCTGGTGCGGTCTCGAAAGAAGGAGCGAGAAGCCTTCGAGTCAAGGGTGAAGGTGTGGGAGGCCGAAGCCGACGCAGAACCTGAGAGAGCAGACTCACCAGCACCTGAGGGAGCAGACGCACGAGCACCTAGAGCAGCAGCCTCGCTAGCACCTAGAGCAGCAGCCTCACCAGTACCTAGAGCAGCAGACTCAATGCCCGGGTCGGGCGGAAAACACCGGTAACAGTCACCCTCATCACTAATAGTCACAGTATACATGGCAGCAAGAATAGCATCAAAGTCAAGGTCAAAGACAGCTACACCCGCCCTAGACAGCTCACCCCAGGGGGGGATCTCAGTGGCCTCAGGGAACTGGTGACGCCAAGCGTCCGTCAGGCGGCCAAAGCAGCGCTGGGTGGAGTGCGCACCCCAGCACTGCTCACCCGCGCGGTCTCCGGTGCGTAGGACGTAGGTGCACGGACCAGTACCCCCACCCCGCTGGCGTGCAGCGTACCACTCACGGAGCTGCTGAGGGGGGGGGATGTCACGAGTGCGCTGCTGCTGCTGCTGCTGCTGCTGCTGCTGCTGCTGCTGCTGCTGCTGCTGGCGCTGACCACCACCGGAGCCGACCCTCTGCGCAGCGCCACCCCGACCAGCTCCACCTCCTCCGCCGCCGCCTCCTCCACCGCCGCCACCTCCGCTCCCACCGCCACCGCCGCCGCCGCCGCCGCCTCCACTGCCGCCACCGACACCTCCACCCCCGCCACCACCCCCACCGCCACCCCCACCCCCTCCACCGCCTCCACCGCCGCCTCCACCGCCCCCGCTAGCTCCTCCAGTGCCCCTGCCCCCCTTGCCCTTGCCAGGGCGGCGTCTCCCGCTAGGGGTAGACGCCGCACCGACCGACTCAAGCCCAACGAGGTCGGCCGCAGCAGCAGAGGCAACAGAGGGCAAAAGGGGGGAGGGGGAACACCCCTCAAAGATGGGGGTGCGAGGGTCACCACGAGAGGCTCCTACAGCTACTATGCTCTTTTCTGCTGCTAGGAGGGCCTTCTCGAGGAGGTCAACGGTGAGAGTGGTGGGGCAAACTGAGAGGAAGTGGTCCCTGACTACGCGAAGGGAGTCAGGGAGCCGGGTGACTATGTAGTAGAGGGTGATGTACATGGGGGGGGGGTTCTTGGCGCAGAACTCAGCAGGAAGCGCAGCGCGGTAGCGAGTGTCACTAGTGCGGAGGTGCGTAATGAGGTCAGCGACTGTGGGAAAGGCAGCAAGGTCAGGGAAGAGGTACGGTAGCATGAGGCGGCTCAGTGCAGCAGTGGCAGGGGAGGAGTAGCGCGCAACTACAGCGTCGTACAAGGTCTGAGCACTCTTGTACTGGCTAAAGTGCGCACGCTCAGAGGTAGGCAGGTGGCGACGCACAGCAAGACGTGCAGCAGCATCGCGAGTGGCCCACTGTGAGCGAACAGTGGCGTCGGCATCAGCAGCAGGGACAGGAGAGGCACCAGAGGTGAGGTCAAAGAGGGAGAGACCGTCTGCCCTATCGCACTGCAGGAAGAGCTGCAGGTCATCTACCCAGACGTCAAAGTCAATGGCCCGACCCTCAGCGTCAAAAGCGAGGACACTAGGGGTAGCCATGACAGCACTAGACTAGCAGCGCGAACAGTAGGGTAAGGGCAGTGCAGTGACAGAGGCGCTGCTCTTACCAGACAGGGCGGCTCGGGTGGCTCGGTGGCTCAGCGGCTCGGCAACTCGGCGGCTCGGGCGGCTCGGCGGTACGGCGGCTCGGCAGCAACAGCGGCTCGGCGACTCGGCGGCTCGGGCGGCTCGGGCGGCTCGGCGGTACGGCGGCTCGGCAGCACGGGCAGCTCAGGTGGCGCGGCGGCTCGGGCGGCTCGGGTGGAACGGGCAGCTCGGCAGCAGCTCGGCGGCGCCGGCGGCTCGGTGGTGACGGCGGGGCCACGCGGGGAGCGGCGGCGGGGCCTGGTGGAGCGGCGCCGGTAGGGCCGAGGCGCACCGGCGGGTGCAGTCAGCGGCGGCAGCAGCTGCGGCCCCGAGAGAGGTGGTGGCGGCTGCTGCTGGCGACGGCTGCGGCTGCTGCTGCTGCAGGGACGGCGGCGGCCGCTGCTGTAGGGACTGCGGCGGCTGCTGCGGCAGGGGCGGCGACGGCGGGCCGGAGGGGGGCGGCGACAGGGCCGTGATAGGGCGGCGCGAGGGGCCGCGGAGGGCGGCGACGGGCCGTAGGGGGCCGTGAGGGGCCGCGGGAGGGGCCGTAAGGGGCGTAAGGGGCCGCGCGAGGGGCCGTAAGGGACGGTGCGAGGGGCCGTAAGGGGCCGCTAAGGGCGGCGCGAGGGGCCGACGGGCGGCGCGAGGGGCCGTAAGGGGCCGTAAGGGCGGCGCGAGGGGCCGTAAGGGTGGCACGAGGGGCCGTAAGGGCGGCGCAAGGGGCCGTGAGAGGGGCCGCTAAGGGCGACGCGAAGGGGCCGTGAGGGGCCGTGAGAGGGCGCGACGGTAGGGAGGGCACACAGGGCGCGACTCGGGCAGGAGCGAAGCGCGCTCCGGGCAGGAAAAAAAAATTTGTGGTGGGCCCTAGGAAGTGTTCCCACTAGGGAACCTGCTCGATACCATGAGAAGAAACGAGGAATGAAATGACTAAGGGAAAGTTGGGTACAAAAGCAAACCCTAGAAAAACTGTACCCCATATGTGCTACCCCACTATAGCCTACAGTAGCTATGTCATATAAATCTGACAGCGCTCGCTCTCGTGCATATATCCCACCTGCTCGCATAGCGCCAGAAATCCGCTCGTGTAATCCTGGACGGAACCGAGTTGGCGCCAAGTGCGGAGCTTCTGTCGCGCCGCGATCGAAGCCGCGATTGGCTCGAAACGAGCACGCAGACCTGCGCACCACGCGTCCCACGTGCGATACTGGGGCACCTCCACGAAATACGACGGCGCCCAGGGTCCGGTTTGTCCTTCCCGTGTCGGTAGAGTCGCGTAGTCCACCGGCTTCGTGACGATGACGCGCCACCAGTCCATGGCGGGTCCTCGCAGCAACGACACGGCGTAGCGAATCTTCGCCGTATCCTCCGAGACGTAGTTCGCGTCGAAGAAGACGTTCAACGTGAAGAGCCACGCCTGAACGGTAGGACCACCCCGCTGACTTGGGTCAAAGCATGGCGGACGCTGCGGCTTTAGCGGCATCGGCGACGGAAGAGTTGATCCGCCGGCCGGCACTGAAATCGTGACTTGAGGCTGAGTCCTGGCCGCATTCGTCGCATCGGGGTGTGTCGTGCCGTGGTCGTCGTCTCCGTCATGGCGGACGACGCCATCACTTGCGGCGCTCGCGGGTTGCCCCACACTTCCGTGCTGTGATGCTTGTGGTGCGGGCTGAATCGGAGTGCCAGGTGCTTGGGATTGTGCTCGTGTGAGGTCGTTTTGCAGGGACGAGCGTTCTGCCGTCAGCGTCGCAATTTCCTCGGCGCTCTCGCGGATTTGTCGCAGCAGATCGTTCAAGTGCTCCTGCGTGAGAGTCGTGACGTCGATGTGTTCAGCCATTTCGAAGGGCGTCGGCTCGTCTTAGTCTAGGCGCAGTCGTGGCTGCACGCGTTTACGAGAGAACGCGAGGACAACGGCTCCTAGGTGCTAAGGTACGTGAGTCTCTTCGAGTGAAAAATCAAAAGTTGATTTCCTGGGGTGCGGAGATGCGCGGTCCGAAAAAGGAAAGAGGCTCTGAATACCAAGTGTTACGGGTGCAATGAATCGAAGTAGCGAGAATTGCACTAAGGTGTCAAACGAGTACAAAGATGTGAGCGAAGGCATGAGCGAACATTTATACGCGAAACATGCAAACGGTAACGCGGTGCGTGCGAGCTAGCTAGTGTTATGCTGGCAGCGAGGCTCGGGCTAGTCCCGAAGTGTAGGTTGACACGGCCGGGCCAGCAGTGCGAGGTTTGGCAAAACAGTGCGCGCGAAGTTGGCGAAGTCCCGTTAGCAGTAACGGCGAACAACGGCTGTTACTGTACGCGATGTAGTCGGGCTCCGTAAGGAATGCCGAGAAAATTCCTTACAGACGTCGAATAAATCCTGACGACTAGCCAACGATTTTTGGCGACATCCACTACCACATGAATGCCGTCGCTTGTCTGTACCATACTCTGCAAAATGGTTACCAGTTTCTACTTCGCCCTTCCCTTCTGCGAGTCATCGCGGGCAGCGACATCCCCGAGTCCTGCTTTTATCGCAGCCCCTAATCCGTCCCTTCGTCAGATGCACGGGCGAAGAAAGGTTGAGGCCGTGAACAGTGATATACGTGGTAACGCAGTTGCGCAGTTAGGTAATCCGAAAATCTTTCCTATCAGTCTACACATCGTCCAGCATTCCTCCCCCAGCCGTTTCTCATCTCCCCACTCCCTATGCCACGCCCCACGAGTCGACACGACACCTCTCGCGCGACTCCTGCCTCCAAGCCGCGCTTCGCTCCCCACGATATTGTGCTCTGTTGACCGTCGCACCCAGGCCAGTCATGCTCTCCCGTCGAGTTACTTGTTTAGTGTGGCCCTGTGGCTAGTAACACTCCAACTGGTTTAGTGTATACGTGTAACTGTAGTGTTAATCACGCGTGCCGGTAGTAAACGTTCGGCCCAATGGAGGTGCGTCACAAGCCGCGTCCCATTACGGGCGACCTCGAACCAACCAGCCGCAGCCACGTGTCAGATTTCCACGTTCTCTTCTCCGACATACTCGACTGCATTCGCTCGTCAATCACCGCCATCCATCCGCGAAAACGACCGTTACATTTCGCAGCCTTCGCAGCGTTACTGTGTTTACTGATTGTGGCGGCGACGCTGGTCCCCACGGACCTCGAGATCGACGCCGAGACGTACTTCGGGCGCCCCGACGGCGACGCGGCGCGGCGCGACGAGGGCTTCGGGCGTGGGCTGTTCAACGAGACGCAGACGGACGGCAAATTCGACGTGCAGGCCGCCGCCAGGTGCGCGCGGGAGTGAGCGGAAAAGGTGTGGCGGAGCGGGAGGAAAGACAGGCGCAGAGTGATGTGAGATGCGAGAAAGCGGTGTAGTGCGGTTCAGGGGGACGGAAGGAAGTGGGGATGAGGAGTGAGGAGATGAGGAAATGAGGGGATGAGCGATTGAGAGACTGAGGGGGTGAGGTGAGGAAGTAAGGGTGCGTCAGATCCGTTGTCGAAAAAATCCGGCCGGCCGGAAGTAGCGAAAGTAACATATTTGCGACAATCGCAAAGTTCTTCGTGACCTTCGTAAAATCCGGCCATTTGTAAAATTTTTTATGGCCGGTTCAGCATTCGACAAAGTTCCGACGTGCTGTCGACTCGAAAGTCACCACTTTGTCGACCTGAGATCGCTACAGTCGCTAAGCGACGTCGCCAACTCATGCGACGCAACGTGTCACACAAATATTGGATCTACGACTCCGTCGCACAATCTGGCCAACAAATCTGACACATTTGAAAAACGGCCATCTAATCGGCCAGCAAATGTGTCAGATTTGCTAATTTGTCGACAAAAATTCGACCAGTGCGTCGTCGTTCGCGAAAAGAAATTGACGACCAAATGGTCGACAAATAACCGGCCAGAACACGTTTCAGAGGATCTGACACACCCTAAGGGGTTGAGGGATGAGGATTTGCGGAAGGAGAGGATGATGCCATCTCTTGTGCACCCCCCATGCCCCTACTCCATACCCTCACCCCCATCCCCGTACCCCATGCCCCCATGCCCCCATGCCCCCATGCCCCTATGCCCCCATGCCCGCTTGCCGCCATGCCCCCATGCCACCATGTCCCCCTGTCCCCATGCCCCCATGCCCCCATGTCCCACGCACGGCCACCAGGCTGTGGGAGCGCCATGTGGGGTGTGCATGGTTCCGCGCACGCCACCGCCACCTCATCAACCGCTTCAGAGACCCCCTCGCTTGGCCGCCCAACCCCTCCCTGCAGGCACGCCCTCCCCCCTCGCTGCAGGCACGCCCTCCCCCCCCTCGCTGCAGGCACGTCCCTTTTTCAGCAACGCACGTCTTATACCCATCCCCATCCCTCTCTTGGTTCACTTGCATTGGCCTTAATAAGTCAGCTCTGGCCTTCCATGAGTCAACCACGGCTTTCATAAGCCAACTCGCCTTCATAACCCTGGCCTTCATAAGTCAACCCTGGCCTTCATAAGTCAACCCTGGCCTTCATAAGTCAACCCTGGCCTTCATAAGTCAACCCCAGTCTCCTCTCTCCTTGCACGCCCATCAGGACCCCACCGAGCCATCGTGCAACCGAATGAGATTGCGCCACGTCACCGTCTTCGTTGTCCCCACCAATTCCTCATGGTTCGATGCGGGCAGCATTGAGGGATATTATTTCTGCCCGAGGTGCCGAATGACATGCCAGGTACAATAAATGGCATGCCAGGTACAATAAATGACATGCCAGGTACAATATATGACATGCCAGGTACACTAAAGTACACTAAATGACATGCCAGGTACACTAAATGACATGCCAGGTACACTAAATGACATGCCAGGTACACTAAATGACATGCCAGGTACACTAAATGACATGCCAGGTACACTAAATGACATGACAGGTACACTAAACGACATGCCAGGTACACTAAACGACATGACAGGTACACTAAATGACATGCCAAGTACACTAAACGACATGCCAGGTACACTAAACGACATGCCAGGTACACTAAACGACATACCAGGTACACTAAACGAACGACATGCCAGGTACACTGAATGACATTCGCAGTAGCACCTCTTCTCCCTCCCTCCCTTTCCTTGTCTCTCCCTCGAATGGTCCTTCATTGATATAGGCAGTGGAGATACAGTATGGCTGCTCTGATATGTGCTCCCTCTCCTCGCCCTCACCACCTGCTCCCTTTCACACCACGCCTCGCCCCTGTGCAGATAACGTTCAGTGAGCCCATGGCATCGCATGCGGACGCCACTCTCCACGTCGCCCCCAACACCCCCCCGCCGGGCCGGCAGGTGAGCGCAGCACAGAAGGGGGAGCAGCAACGGGGGGAGAAGCGCAGTAGCGAAAGCAAACGTGAGTGCAGCAGAGGGGGGAGGAGCAGGAGGGGGAAAGGGGGGTGGGTGGGCAGGGCCGTGGTAGCAGCGGGGCACCGTGATCGCCGTGCTGCCACACGGTGTGATCGCCGTGCTTCCACACGGTGTGACCGCCGTGCTTCCACACGGTGTGATCGCCGTGCTTCCACACGGTGTGATCGCCGTACTTCCACACGGTGTGATCGCCGTGCTTCCACACGGTGTGATCGCCGTGCTTCCACACGGTGTGATCGCCGTGCTTCCACACGGTGTGATCGCCGTGCTTCCACACGGTGTGATCGCCGTGCTTCCACACGGTGTGATCGCCGTGCTTCCACACGGTGTGATCGCCGTGCTTCCACACGGTGTGATCGCCGTGCTTCCACACGGTGTGATCGCTGTGCTTCCACACGGTGTGATCGCCTGTGCTTCCACACGGTGTGATCGCCGTGCTTCCACACGGTGTGATCGCCGTGCTTCCACACGGTGTGATCGCCGTGCTTCCACACGGTGTGATCGCCGTGCTTCCACACGGTGTGATCGCCGTGCTTCCACACGGTGTGATCGCCGTGCTTCCACACCTGCATCCTGCCGTGCTTCCACACCTGCATCCTGCCGTGCTGCCACACCTGCATCCTGCCGTGCTTCCACACCTGCATCCTGCCGTGCTGCCACACCTGCATCCTGCCGTGCTTCCACACCTGCATCCTGCCGTGCTGCCACACCTGCATCCTGCCGTGCTGCCACACCTGCATCCTGCCGTGCTTCCACACCTGCATCCTGCCGTGCTTCCACACCTGCATCCTGCCTGCCACTCTCCTTCATTCGCCTTGCGCTCTCCCGTGCCCTCAACCTCTCTCCTTCTCTGCACGTGCTCCACCTCACCACCCTGCTGCACCCGGCTGGTCGCCAGCGGTGACTGGGTTCCCTCTCATGGCACTCCCAGCTGCCACTTGCCCTCTAATACCATTCCCTCTCATGGCACTCCCTGCTGCCACTTGCCCTCTAATACCATTCCCTCTCATGGCACTCCCTGCTGCCACTTGCCCTCTAATACCATTCCCTCTCATGGCACTCCATGCTGCCACTTGCCCTCTAATACCATTCCCTCTCATGGCACTCCCTGCTGCCACTTGCCCTCTAATACCATTCCCTCTCATGGCACTCCCAGCTGCCACTTGCCCTCTAATACCATTCCCTCTCATGGCACTCCCTGCTGCCACTTGCCCTCTAATACCATTCCCTCTCATGGCACTCCCTGCTGCCACTTGCCCTCTAATACCATTCCCTCTCATGGCACTGCCTGCTGCCACTTGCCCTCTAATAACATTCCCTCTCATGGCACTCCCTGCTGCCACTTGCCCTCTAATACCATTCCCTCTCATGGCGCTCCCTGCTGCCACTTGCCCTCTAATACCATTCCCTCTCATGGCACTCCCTGCTGCCACTTGCCCTCTAATACCATTCCCTCTAATACCATTCCCTCTGCACGCCTCTCCTCCCAACCACGTCAACCCTCTCCCCCCTTCCCCTGCCAGGTGGGCGACCCGCTGCAGGTCTACCTGGACATGGGGCGGGCGGCGGGGGCGGCGGGGGGCGGCAGGGCGGAGGAGGGGGACGTGGCGGTGTGGTGGGGGCGGGGGGCGGACGTGCAGCTCACCTTTGCGCGCTTCTCTGACGCCATGCCCAGCGGCAGGCAGCACGGCCTGCAGCCCCTCAAGTTCCAGGTGCCCCTCAAGTTCCAGGTGCCCCTCAAGTTCCAGGTGCCCCTCAAGTTCCAGGTGCCCCTCAAGTTCCAGGTGCCCCTCAAGTTCCAGGTGCCCCTCAAGTTCCAGGTGCCCCTCAAGTTCCAGGTGCCCCTCAAGTTCCAGGTGCCCCTCAAGTTCCAGGTGCCCCTCAAGTTCCAGGTGCCCCTCAAGTTCCAGGTGCCCCTCAAGTTCCAGGTGCCCCTCAAGTTCCAGGTGCCCCTCAAGTTCCAGGTGCCCCTCAAGTTCCAGGTGCCTGTGGGGGAGGGGGAGAGGGGGTAGCTTTTGTCTACCTCTCAAGTTCCAGGTGCCAATCCCTCTCTCGCTTGCTTGCTGGCATGCGCGTGGTCGGTTGGTCAGTTGGTTGGTCAGTTGGTTAGTGCTGCCAAGCTGCTCTGTGAGTGACTGGTGTGATTACCTGCAACTGACTCTTCCTCTCCACCTTCACCCTCTATCACTCACACGCTAACTCCCGATCCAATTCCCATTCCAATTCCCATTCCAATTCCCATTCCAATTCCCATTCCAATTCCCATTCCAATTCCCAGTCCAATTCCCATTCCAATTCCCATTCCAATTCCCATTCCAATTCCCATTCCAATTCCCATTCCAATTCCCATTCCAATTCCCATTCCAATTCGCATTCCAATTCCCATTCCAATTCCCATTCCAATTCCCATTCCAATTCCCATTCCAATTCCCATTCCAATTCCCATTCCAATTCCCATTCCAGTTCCCATTCCAATTCCCATTCCAATTCCCATTCCAATTCCCATTCCAATTCCCATTCCAATTCCCATTCCAATACCGATTCCCATTCCCATTCCCAATCCCTTTCCCATTCCCATTCCCATTCCCATTTCCATTTTTCATTCCCACTCCGATTTCCATTCCCATCCCCAATCCTCCCATCGTCATTTCCATCGCCATAAGCTGTACCACCGAGTCGTGCTGTCAAGCCACTCCCTCGCTCTGCACCAGCCCCCCTGCTGTGCACCAGCCCCCCTGCTGTGCACCAGCCCCCCTGCTGTGCACCAGCCCCCCTGCTGTGCACCAGCCCCCCTGCTGTGCACCAGCCCCCCTGCTGTGCACCAGCCCCCCTGCTGTGCACCAGCCCCCCTGCTGTGCACCAGCCCCCCTGCTGTGCACCAGCCCCCCTGCTGTGCACCAGCCCCCCTGCTGTGCACCAGCCCCCCTGCTGTGCACCAGCCCCCCTGCTGTGCACCAGCCCCCCTGCTGTGCACCAGCCCCCCTGCTGTGCACCAGCCCCCCTGCTGTGCACCAGCCCCCCTGCTGTGCACCAGCCCCCCTGCTGTGCACCAGCCCCCCTGCTGTGCACCAGCCCCCCTGCTGTGCACCAGCCCCCCTGCTGTGCACCAGCCCCCCTGCTGTGCACCAGCCCCCCTGCTGTGCACCAGCCCCCTGCTGTGCACCAGCCCCCCTGCTGTGCACCAGCCCCCCTGCTGTGCACCAGCCCCCCTGCTGTGCACCAGCCCCCCTGCTGTGCACCAGCCCCCCTGCTGTGCACCAGCCCCCCTGCTGTGCTGGCTGCTCGTGGTGCCACCTCCCTCAGTGCAAGCATGGGCCCTCCCTCCGTCCCTCCCTCCCTCCCTCCCTCCCTCCCTCCCTCCCTCCCTCCCTCCCTCCCTCCCTCCCTCCCTCCCTCCCTCCCTCCCTCCCTCCCTCCCTCCCTCCCTCCCTCCCTCCCTCCCTCCCTCCCTCCCTCCCTCCCTCCCTCCCTCCCTCCCTCCCTCCACTCCCCGCCTCTCCCCGCCGCTCCAAGGCTGTGGGGCGCTCCAAGGCTGTGGGGCGCTCCAAGGCTGTGGGGCGCTCCAAGGCTGTGGGGCGCTCCAAGGCTGTGGGGCGCTCCAAGGCTGTGGGGCGCTCCAAGGCTGTGGGGCGCTCCAAGGCTGTGGGGCGCTCCAAGGCTGTGGGGCGCTCCAAGGCTGTGGGGCGCTCCAAGGCTGTGGGGCGCTCCAAGGCTGTGGGGCGCTCCAAGGCTGTGGGGCGCTCCAAGGCTGTGGGGCGCTCCAAGGCTGTGGGGCGCTCCAAGGCTGTGGGGCGCTCCAAGGCTGTGGGGCGCTCCAAGGCTGTGGGGCGCTCCAAGGCTGTGGGGCGCTCCAAGGCTGTGGGGCGCTCCAAGGCTGTGGGGCGCTCCAAGGCTGTGGGGCGCTCCAAGGCTGTGGGGCGCTCCAAGGCTGTGGGGCGCTCCAAGGCTGTGGCTGCAATGCGCGCCTACCTGCCGCGCACTTGTATTTCTCTTCTTATTGCATGTTGTAGAAAAGGAGCTTGTTCTTCTAGATGAAAAGGTAATATGCAACTTGAAGTCTCGTTCATCCTATGCAGTGGACTAACTAGATTCTGCCTAAGTCGTCTCAGAAATTGGTGTCTCTGAGTTGGATCACGCCAATTTCCAACTGCTCTAGATCGGCTCGTGCTTAAAAAAAAAGGGTTTCGGATCAACCTGGTTCGGGTTGACCCGACTACCCAAGTCGGAAAGACCCGGCCTAAAACACAAAGATCGTGTATTGGGTCAACCCTACCCAGTCAGGAATACCCTACCCAGTCAGAAATACCCTACCCAGTCAGGAATACCCTACCCAGTCAGAAATACCCTACCCAGTCAGGAATACCCTACCCAGTCAGGAATACCCTACCCAGTCAGGAATACCCTACCCAGTCAGAAATACCCTACCCAGTCGGGAATACCCTACCCAGTCAGGAATACCCTACCCAGTCAGAAATACCCTACCCAGTCAGGAATACCCTACCCAGTCAGGAATACCCTACCCAGTCAGGAATACCCTACCCAGTCAGGAATACCCTACCCAGTCGGGAATACCCTACCCAGTCGGGAATACCCTACCCAGTCAGGAATACCCTACCCAGTCAGAAATACCCTACCCAGTCGGGAATACCCTACCCAGTCGGGAATACCCTACCCAGTCAGACATACCCTACCCAGTCGGGAATACCCTACCCAGTCGGGAACACCCTACCCAGTCGGGAATACCCTACCCAGTCGGGAATACCCTACCCAGTCAGGAATACCCTACCCAGTCAGGAATACCCTACCCAGTCAGGAATACCCTACCCAGTCAGGAATACCCTACCCAGTCGGGAATACCCTACCCAGTCGGGAATTCCCTACCCAGTAGGGAATACCCTACCCAGTCGGGAATACCCTACCCAGTCAGAAATACCCTACCCAGTCAGGAATACCCTACCCAGTCAGAAATACCCTACCCAGTCAGGAATACCCTACCCAGTCGGGAATACCCTACCCAGTCGGGAATACCCTACCCAGTCGGGAATACCCTACCCAGTCAGGAATACCCTACCCAGTCAGAAATACCCTACCCAGTCAGGAATACCCTACCCAGTCAGGAATACCCTACCCAGTCAGGAATACCCTACCCAGTCAGAAATACCCTACCCAGTCAGGAATACCCTACCCAGTCAGGAATACCCTACCCAGTCGGGAATACCCTACCCAGTCGGGAATACCCTACCCAGTCAGGAATACTACCCAGTCGGGAATACCCTACCCAGTCGGGAATACCCTACCCAGTCGGGAATACCCTACCCAGTCGGGAATACCCTACCCAGTCGGGAATACCCTACCCAGTCAGAAATATCCTACCCAGTCAGGAATACCCTACCCAGTCGGGAATACCCTACCCAGTCGGGAATACCCTACCCAGTCGGGAATTCCCTACCCAGTCGGGAATACCCTACCCAGTCGGGAATACCCTACCCAGTCGGGAATACCCTACCCAGTCAGAAATACCCTACCCAGTCAGGAATACCCTACCCAGTCGGGAATACCCTACCCAGTCGGGAATACCCTACCCAGTCGGGAATACCCTACCCAGTCAGAAATACCCTACCCAGTCAGGAATACCCTACCCAGTCGGGAATACCCTACCCAGTCAGAAATACCCTACCCAGTCAGGAATACCCTACCCAGTCAGGAATACCCTACCCAGTCAGGAATACCCTACCCAGTCAGAAATACCCTACCCAGTCAGGAATACCCTACCCAGTCAGGAATACCCTACCCAGTCGGGAATACCCTACCCAGTCGGGAATACCCTACCCAGTCGGGAATACCCTACCCAGTCGGGAATACCCTACCCAGTCGGGAATACCCTACCCAGTCGGGAATACCCTACCCAGTCGGGAATACCCTACCCAGTCGGGAATACCCTACCCAGTCAGGAATACCCTACCCAGTCGGGAATACCCTACCCAGTCGGGAGTACCCTACCCAGTCGGGAATTCCTTACCCAGTCAGGAATACCCTACCCAGTCAGGAATACCCTACCCAGTCAGGAATACCCTACCCAGTCAGGAATACCCTACCCAGTCAGGAATACCCTACCCAGTCAGGAATACCCTACCCAGTCAGAAATACCCTACCCAGTCAGGAATACCCTACCCAGTCGGGAATACCCTACCCAGTCGGGAATACCCTACCCATTCGGGAATACCCTACCCAGTCGGGAATACCCTACCCAGTCGGGAATACCCTACCCAGTCAGGAATACCCTACCCAGTCAGAAATACCCTACCCAGTCAGGAATACCCTACCCAGTCAGGAATACCCTACCCAGTCAGGAATACCCTACCCAGTCGGGAATACCCTACCCAGTCGGGAATTCCCTACCCAGTCAGGAATACCCTACCCAGTCAGGAATACCCTACCCAGTCGGGAATACCCTACCCAGTCGGGAATTCCCTACCCAGTCAGGAATACCCTACCCAGTCAGGAATACCCTACCCAGTCAGGAATACCCTACCCAGTCAGGAATACCCTACCCAGTCGGGAATACCCTACCCAGTCGGGAATTCCCTACCCAGTCAGGAATACCCTACCCAGTCAGGAATACCCTACCCAGTCAGGAATACCCTACCCAGTCAGGAATACCCTACCCAGTCAGGAATACCCTACCCAGTCAGAAATACCCTACCCAGTCAGGAATACCCTACCCAGTCAGGAATACCCTACCCAGTCGGGAATACCCTACCCAGTCGGGAATACCCTACCCAGTCAGGAATACCCTACCCAGTCGGGAATACCCTACCCAGTCGGGAATACCCTACCCAGTCGGGAATACCCTACCCAGTCGGGAATACCCTACCCAGTCGGGAATACCCTACCCAGTCAGAAATATCCTACCCAGTCAGGAATACCCTACCCAGTCGGGAATACCCTACCCAGTCGGGAATACCCTACCCAGTCGGGAATTCCCTACCCAGTCGGGAATACCCTACCCAGTCGGGAATACCCTACCCAGTCGGGAATACCCTACCCAGTCAGAAATACCCTACCCAGTCAGGAATACCCTACCCAGTCGGGAATACCCTACCCAGTCGGGAATACCCTACCCAGTCGGGAATACCCTAGCCAGTCAGAAATACCCTACCCAGTCAGGAATACCCTACCCAGTCGGGAATACCCTACCCAGTCAGAAATACCCTACCCAGTCAGGAATACCCTACCCAGTCAGGAATACCCTACCCAGTCAGGAATACCCTACCCAGTCAGAAATACCCTACCCAGTCAGGAATACCCTACCCAGTCAGGAATACCCTACCCAGTCGGGAATACCCTACCCAGTCGGGAATACCCTACCCAGTCGGGAATACCCTACCCAGTCGGGAATACCCTACCCAGTCGGGAATACCCTACCCAGTCGGGAATACCCTACCCAGTCGGGAATACCCTACCCAGTCGGGAATACCCTACCCAGTCAGGAATACCCTACCCAGTCGGGAATACCCTACCCAGTCGGGAGTACCCTACCCAGTCGGGAATTCCCTACCCAGTCAGGAATACCCTACCCAGTCAGGAATACCCTACCCAGTCAGGAATACCCTACCCAGTCAGGAATACCCTACCCAGTCAGGAATACCCGGCCCGACACGACCGGGTAGGCGTCTCAGCACCCCACTCTTTCGCTATCAGACACACGGCATGCTCGTGCAGGGTACAGAATGCACACTGCACTGCCGGTCGTCCGTGAGCCGTCTCTCCATGTGTGTGTGCGCCCTCCCGCTCTACATGTGCGTGCATCCATGATCACACACCAATGGTCCCTGTGTGAGTGCGGGCAGGTGGCAGCGCACATACCAACGCACAGCTTTGGGCAGTGCGGCAACAACTTCAACAACTCCAACGAGGACGTGCTCTTCAATGACACCTGCCCCTCCACGTTCGTACTCTCTTAGTAGGCTTGCTGCCCCTCCACGTTCGTACTCTCTTAGTAGGCTTGCTGCCCCTCCACGTTCGTACTCTCTTAGTAGGCTTGCTGCCCCTCCACGTTCGTACTCTCTTAGTAGGCTTGCTGCCCCTCCACGTTCGTACTCTCTTAGTAGGCTTGCTGCCCCTCCACGTTCGTACTCTCTTAGTAGGCTTGCTGCCCCTCCACGTTCGTACTCTCTTAGTAGGCTTGCTGCCCCTCCACGTTCGTACTCTCTTAGTAGGCTTGCTGCCCCTCCACGTTCGTACTCTCTTAGTAGGCTTGCTGCCCCTCCACGTTCGTACTCTCTTAGTAGGCTTGCTGCCCCTCCACGTTCGTACTCTCTTAGTAGGCTTGCTGCCCCTCCACGTTCGTACTCTCTTAGTAGGCTTGCTGCCCCTCCACGTTCGTACTCTCTTAGTAGGCTTGCTGCCCCTCCACGTTCGTACTCTCTTAGTAGGCTTGCTGCCCCTCCACGTTCGTACTCTCTTAGTAGGCTTGCTGCCCCTCCACGTTCGTACTCTCTTAGTAGGCTTGCTGCCCCTCCACGTTCGTACTCTCTTCGTAGGCTTGCTGCCCCTCCACGTTCGTACTCTCTTAGTAGGCTTGCTGCCCCTCCACGTTCGTACTCTCTTAGTAGGCTTGCTGCCCCTCCACGTTCGTACTCTCTTAGTAGGCTTGCTGCCCCTCCACGTTCGTACTCTCTTAGTAGGCTTGCTGCCCCTCCACGTTCGTACTCTCTTAGTAGGCTTGCTGCCCCTCCACGTTCGTACTCTCTTAGTAGGCTTGCTGCCCCTCCACGTTCGTACTCTCTTCGTAGGCTTGCTGCACTTCGAAACCAACTGATTCCAATAAGGACGTGCTGTTCAATGACCCCTGCCCCTCCACGTCAGTGCAGTGCCCCTCCACGTCAGTGCACTGCCCCTCCACGTCAGTGCACTGCCCCTCCACGTCAGTGCACTGCCCCTCCACGTCAGTGCACTGCCCCTTCACGTCAGCCACTGCCCCTCCACGTCAGTCACTGCCCCTCCACGTCAGTGCACTGCCCCTCCACGTCAGTGCACTGCCCCTCCACGTCAGTCGCCTGGGATCTTGTGCTCTTCTTCCCGCCTGGACCACTCAGTGCTTATTACTGAGCTGCAGACCTTGCATTTCCGGCCTCCCTGCGACTTGAACCTTTGGGGGACGCCGCCCACCGGTACTGTGCTGGTCATTCAATCAAACGGGCTTGAACTCACACTGAATCGAGCTCACCCAGATTAACTCTCTATCCTTTCACATTGCTCATTCTCTTCTTTAGATACCCCTCCTTCCCCACTGCCCCTGTCCCTCCCCGTGGCAGGGCAGCGCACACGGAGCACTCACAGAAGTCGCACTGCCTCTCCTCCAATTACAAGTTCGAACTCGTTGTCGATGACCCCCGCCTCCTGGGCTTCGTTTCCTGGAAGCTTCTCCGCACGCTTGAAGCAGGTGGGTTTAAAGCCGCACATGACACCTGCCTTGGCATAAGTTTAAGTACTGCACTTATCCTTGATACTACTGAACATTTGCGTAAGTAACGCACTTAGACTTCTTACTAAGTTCAAGTAACGCACTTACACTTAGTACCAACATATAGCGCTTATACCTATTATGACATTAAAGTAGTGCTTGTACTTGTCATTAGATACAAATGTACCAACATATAGCACTTACACCTATCATGACTTTTCCGCTCAATCCCCTCCTAATTCCTGCATCCCCACCTTCCCCTTCCCTTCTCCTCCCCTTGGACTCCCACCCACCCCCCAAGGCACGGTGCCCATCTACTATGGTGCACCTGATGTGGACAACTTCATGCCGCCCGGCTCGTACATCGACGGGAGGAAGCTTCCCACCCCCGCCGAGCTACTTGCCGCCCTGCAGGAGTTGCACCTCGACCCCTGTGAGTGCACCTCGACCCCTGTGAGTGCACCTCCACCCCTGTGAGTGCACCTCCACCCCTGTGAGTGCACCTCCACCCCTGTGAGTGCACCTCGACTCCTGTGAGTGCACCTCGACCCCTGTGAGTGCACCTCGACCCCTGTGAGTGCACCTCCACCCCTGTGAGTGCACCTCCACCCCTGTGAGTGCACCTCGACCCCTGTGAGTGCACCTCGACCCCTGTGAGTGCACCTCCACCCCTGTGAGTGCCAATCATACGTGCTCTGTTTTGGTTAATACACCAAAATACGCACGGACAGTCCTAAGAAAAAAGTTACAAGCAAAAGCACACCAGCTTGAGCACAACAGCACCCCCTGTTTCGCTGAGCACAACAACACCCCCTGTTTCGCTGAACAACTAAACTCCCAACCCCTTGCAACTCAATGTGGAGTGGAGGAGCTATCTTCCACTTGGACCAGACTCGCCTCTTCCAGCACAAAAGTGCCTCTTCCAGCACAAAAGTGCCTCTTCCAGCACAAAAGTGCCTCTTCCAGCACAAAAGTGCCTCTTCCAGCACAAAAGTGCCTCTTCCAGCACAAAAGTGCCTCTTCCAGCACAAAAGTGCCTCTTCCAGCACAAAAGTGCCTCTTCCAGCACAAAAGTGCCTCTTCCAGCACAAAAGTGCCTCTTCCAGCACAAAAGTGCCTCTTCCAGCACAAAAGTGCCTCTTCCAGCACAAAAGTGCCTCTTCCAGCACAAAAGTGCCTCTTCCAGCACAAAAGTGCCTCTTCCAGCACAAAAGTGCCTCTTCCAGCACAAAAGTGCCTCTTCCAGCACAAAAGTGCCTCTTCCAGCACAAAAGTGCCTCTTCCAGCACAAAAGTGCCTCTTCCAGCACAAAAGTGCCTCTTCCAGCACAAAAGTGCCTCTTCCAGCACAAAAGTGCCTCTTCCAGCACAAAAGTGCCTCTTCCAGCACAAAAGTGCCTCTTCCAGCACAAAAGTGCCTCTTCCAGCACAAAAGTGCCTCTTCCAGCACAAAAGTGCCTCTTCCAGCACAAAAGTGCCTCTTCCAGCACAAAAGTGCCTCTTCCAGCACAAAAGTGCCTCTTCCAGCACAAAAGTGCCTCTTCCAGCACAAAAGTGCCTCTTCAAGCACAGAAGTGCCTCTTTTCTCCATTGAATAGTCATCGTTGTGTTTGTTCCCTCGTTCTGAATGATGAGTGTGACTGGACTGTGGGCACGTGGGGAGGAAAGTGGGGGGAGTATGGGGGTCGTTGATGCTTTGCGCCTCGACCATCCCCACCGGACCAACCTACCGTGCAATGTATGGCGTATATGTGCTTCCGTGTAAAACTCCATATGGGGATTTTTAACTGTTGGGCATAGACCTGTTGGCATAGACCTGTTGGCATAGACCTGTTGGCATAGACCTGTTGGCATAGACCTGTTGGCATAGACCTGTTGGCATAGACCTGTTGGCATAGACCTGTTGGCATAGACCTGTTGGCATAGACCTGTTGGCATAGACCTGTTGGCATAGACCTGTTGGGCATAAACCTGTTGGCATAGACCTGTTGGCATAGACCTGTTGGCATAGACCTGTTGGCATAGACCTGTTGGCATAGACCTGTTGGCATAGACCTGTTGGCATAGACCTGTTGGCATAGACCTGTTGGGCATATACCTGTTGGCATAGACCTGTTGGCATAGACCTGTTGGCATAGACCTGTTGGCATAGACCTGTTGGCATAAACCTGTTGGCATAGACCTGTTGGCATAGACCTGTTGGCATAGACCTGTTGGCATAGACCTGTTGGCATAGACCTGTTGGCATAGACCTGTTGGCATAGACCTGTTGGCATAGACCTGTTGGCATAGACCTGTTGGCATAGACCTGTTGGCATAGACCTGTTGGCATAGACCTGTTGGGCATAGACCTGTTGGCATAGACCTGTTGGCATAGACCTGTTGGCATGGCGTACGCGCTACACTTTGGTTGCAGCACTCACTGTCTTCTCCCCCTCCTCTCTCCTCTCCCCTCCCTCCTCTCCGCCACCCCCATGCAGTGAAGTACATGGATCTATTGGTCTGGCGCACGTGTGGCGTGTGGGGTCATTATGCCCATGTGGCCCCCCGTTCCATGGCCCTCCACACTGGCTACATGTTCTTCGCACCACTCACTGCCCTCCCCATCCCCCTGCCTCCCCCCCATGCAGTGAAGTACATGGATCTGTTCGCCTGGCGCACATGCGGTGTGTGGGGGCACTACGCCCATGTGGACGCGCTGGGCTTCCGCTCGCTGCCCTGCCGCCTCTGTGAGGCCGTCAGCGCCCGCCACGGCCGCCTCTTCCACCGCCACTAGCTGCCACGGCCGCCTCTTCCACCGCCACTAGCTGCCACGCCCGCCTCTTCCACCGCCACTAGCTGCCACGGCCGCTACCTTCCACCGCCACTAGCTGCCACGGCCGCTACCTTCCACCGCCACTAGCTGCCACGGCCGCTACCTTCCACCGCCACTAGCTGCCACGCCCGCTACCTTCCACTGCCACTAGCTGCCACGCCCGCTACCTTCCACCGCCACCTAGCTCCTTTTGCTGCACACGCACTAGCGGTAGTTCCCACCCGCACACCACCTCCCACTGCTCGACACGCTCTTGCACCACATGCACGTGTACTCCCTACTCGCCCCCACTCACTCGGATTAGCCACAACGGCTGCCTCTTCGGCCGACACAAGGTGGTTTCTGTGCTGCTGCCTGGACGAAGACTGCATGCAGCAGTGCCGCTTAGCCTCCACAGCCCTTCTCTCGGACCTCAGCAGCACTCCTACCACCTTGTTGCACGACCCCTGCTGCCATTTCCAAGCAACGCCAGCATGTTGGAATCGTGGTACGTGACAGTACGTACAGGGAGTCTGTTCAGGGCCTGGAACTGGTGGCGAGCCACCCTTGATATGTACCATGCCACAAAGGGTAGACGATTATACATTATCCTCTGAAAATCAGGGTCCAATAGGGGCCCATAGTAGTCATGGTAAACAGTTGCTCGCTTGCTCACTCCATTCCATTTATAACAAGAAGCTCTTTTGAGCTTAGTCAATGCACTCTCCTGAGCTCTTTTTGAACCAGCAGAGTCACCAGCCAAGGAAACAGACACCCCATTTATACGACACTAGTCTAGGGCCTTGTGTGGGTGGTCCTCTGCTCAGGGTCCTGCAATACTGAAAGAGCTTCCTTCAAACGTCAACTACTGCATCGTTTTATTGTGCCACCCCTTGACAGCCCCCTCTATAGCGCGCTCAATCAAGGCGTGCAGCTGCTGTCGGCCCTCCTCCCTGAGCTGCGCCCTGTAGTGCGCCTTGAGGAACATCTTCTCCGCGTCCACGTGGGCGCATGGGAAGTACCACAGGCGGATGCTGTAGCCGCACTCGTACGCCACCAGCTGCTTCCCGCGCTGGTACCCCGCATCCACCCCCACCTCCCTGTGGCACCCACACCGCCCCTTGTCCACCTCCTCCTCCTCGCCCTCGCCCTCGCCCTCGCCCTCCCCCCCATCATCATCGTTCATCTCAGGCAGTTCAGCCATGCCCATTGCCCTCTCCCGCCCCTGCTGCTCCTGCTCCTTCCCCAGCCCTGCATGACCCGCATGCCCCTCCTGCCCCTCTTTCTCTACCTGCTGTTCCACCAGCATGGCTTGCTGCTGCGCCTGTTCTGCCTGCAGCTGCCACAGCCGGAAGTGCTTCTTCCGGAACTTGCCCGACCCGCACACGCGTGTGAGCAGCTCCATCTTGTTGTCCTGCCCGTACGCCATGCCTGCCGCATGTCACACACAAAGAAGGGGGGCTTAAACGAGCGTGACTCAAGTGAATGCTGTCAAAAGGACCACGGCCGCACGGAGTGGGAGTTGGAGCAGACTGTGAGAGGGGCAGCGGGAGAGCACACAGGTGCGGTACTCGACCGGTTGAGCATCAAGTATCAGGAACAGCAGAGGAGCAGAGGGCATGCAGCATGGCACACCCACCCGGCTGGTAGCGGTAGGGCGCATCGGCACGCAAGGCGAGTTGGCTCTCGTGCAGGTGGGGGGCGAAGCGACGCAGATTGATGAAGCGCGAGGAGGCGTTGAGCCATGTGGGCGACTGCTCCCGGTGCACCCTGTACATGGGCACCTGAAGTGGGGGGGGTGGGCGCAGTGCGTGGGGCACCACGGATGGTGCTTGGGTACATGGTGGGGGGGGGCAGATACGCACACACAGCATGGCACATGACTGACGGCACATGACTGCACGGCACATGACTGCATGGGACATGACTGCATCGCCAAGGGGAAGACTATGGGGCATGCACACGCGCACGCACACGCATGCATGCATCCAAACACAGCTTGTGAATGCACGCATGGCCAAGACGCAAGGGGTATGAGTGTTGGGCATGGGTGGAATTCAACAGAACCCCGCTGGTAGATTATGATTCACTCACCCGCTGCCTGCTGCCCTCACCTGCCTGCCTGTGTCTTACGAAACGCCTTCAAACCCCATGTAAAATTTCAACCCACCTTGAAGACCTTAAAGCCCCTCTTCTCGTGCCGGTCCGCGGCCTGCACTATCAACCGCCAGGCCTCGGCGGTGAGGAACTGGTTGCCGTCAAAGGTGAGGACCCACTGCGCCCCCTCCCTGCGTGCATGCTCCAACATCAAGTTGCGCGCCTCGTTCTGCGCTGGGAGCGGTGTTGATGGAGGGACGCCATGGGGGGGGGGATGGGGGGGGTGGGGGAGTGGGGGGGAGGATGAGGATGACGGCATGGGTGCAGTGGGAGGGCATATGGCCCGTGGGTGCAGGGCATATGGCCCATAGGTGCAGGGCATATGGCCCATGGGTGCAGGGCATATGGCCTGTGGGTGCAGGGCCTTTCCGTATGACATATTCGTATGGCATGGAGAACAGGCACTTAGAGTAGAGGGGGATGAGCAGCGCGGGGCGGGGGAGGTACGGATTGGGGGGTTTGATTGTGTATGGGAGGCGGGATGGCGGCAAAAAGGAGAAAGGATCCACGTGAGCAGCATTGCTGTGTAAAGCATTCGTACCAAAATGAGACATGTGCATCAGGCATGTCCAGCTTTGAAGGACACATGAGGAGATCAAACCTGCTATCATGCGCCATGTTCAGAGAAGCACGCAGCAAGCTTTGAGGCGCACGGCATGGGATGGAGGGCAGGCAGGGGATGGGAGGAAGGCGCGCACCGGTGACAGCGGTGGTCCAGAGGGAGCGGTCGAGCGTGGCGATGAGGGCGAGGTTGAGCGGGCGCATGAGCATGTCCTGCTGGGGGGGCCGTGTGCGGCCATGTGAGAGTGTTTGGGCGGCACGCGTTTGGTGCATGGTGGCATGATGGCATGGTGGCATGATGGCATGGTGGCTGGCATGGTGGCATGATGGCATGATGGCATGATGGCATGATGGCATGGTGGCATGATGGCATGATGGCATGATGGCATGATGGCATGATGGCATGGTGGCATGATGGCATGATGGCATGATGGCATGGTGGCATGATGGCATGGTGGCTGGCATGGTGGCATGATGGCATGATGGCATGATGCCATGATGGCATGGTGGCATGATGGCTTGGTGGCTGGCATGGTGGCATGATGGCATGATGGCATGATGGCATGATGGCATGGTGGCATGATGGCATGGTGACTGGCATGGTGGCATGATGGCATGATGGCATGATGGCATGGTGGCATGATGGCTTGGTGGCTGGCATGGTGGCATGATGGCATGATGGCATGATGGCATGATGGCATGGTGGCATGATGGCTTGGTGGCTGGCATGGTGGCATGATGGCATGATGGCATGATGGCATGATGGCATGGTGGCATGATGGCATGATGGCATGATGGCATGGTGGCATGATGGCATGATGGCATGATGGCATGGTGGCATGGTGGCATGATGGCATGGTGGCATGGTGGCATGGTGGCATGATGGCATGGTGGCATGGTGGCATGATGGCATGATGGCATGGTGAGATGGCACAGCATGGCACATAGTGTGATAAGGTACACCACACCACACCACACCACACCACACCACACCACATGGCACACATGTCAAGCGCACAGCACAGCAGGTCACACCTCGTCCTTGACCCCGTGGGCGCGCATGGCTTCAACCAGGTGAGCGAGCGCGGTGCTGTTCACCACGTGGTTCAGCACCCACAGGCGCCGCGCCTGCTCCAGGAAAGGGGGCTCGTGCTGCAGCGCGTACAGCGTGTTGCGCTGCAGCTGCTGCGCGCACTGCAGCGGCGGCATGTCGTTGCCGATCAGCCGGTAGATGAAGAAGCGCGCCGGTGCAGGGGTAGCGGGGAGGGGCGACGAGGGGTGTGGGGTGAGGGGTGTTGAGGTGGATGGGGGGGAGAGCGGGGTTGAGAGGGGGTTGGGGAGCGTGGGGGAGGGAAGGAGGGAGGAGGGCGGAAAAAGGGAGGACGGGACGGGGTGCGGAGGAGGGGAGAATGGGGGAGAGGAGGGAGGGGATGGGGGATGGAGGGAGGGGGAGGGTGGCGGCAGGGAGGGAGGCACTGAGGGAGGAAGAAGCGGGGGGGTGGAGTGTGGGGGCGGTGAGGGCGGGTGAGGGGCGGGCGGGTGTGTGCCAGCGGATGTGGGCCGCACTGCCTCTCCGCCCTCCGCGCCCTCTCTGCCCTCCGCGCCCTCTCCGCGCTCCCCGCCCTCTCCGCCCTCCGCTCCACCCTCCGCGCCCTCTACCTCCGCGCCACCAGCGCTGTCACCACCCTTGCTCGCGCTGCCACCTGTGCGGCGAGTTGTAGCAGCACTGCCGGTATCCACCGCCACATCACCTGCTGCTGCACCTGCCACCTCTCCTCGCACCCCTGCATTCACCTCCCCCTCCAGTATCTCCCGCTCTTCCCCTGCCTCTCTCGCCCTCGCCTCTCCTGCTTTCCCCGTCGCTTCCCCCTCCGCCTCCGCCTTCCTTCTCTCCACCTCCTCCCCTCTGCTCAGCCCTCCGCCTCCCGCGCCATCTACCCATTTTTCTTCTCCGCGCGCCCACCCCCCTCCGCCCACCTCATTTCCTCTGCCTACCCCGTCCTTCTCCCCTAGTTCTCGCGCCGCCCCCGCATTGTTATCCGCGCGCGGGGCAGCGCAGGGGCTGAATGCGGGCGCAAAGGGCGCGGGGAGTGAGAGGAGCGCGAGCGCGAGCGTGTAGAGCAGGCAGAGCGCGGCGGCGCGCTTGAGCGCGCGCGGAGGGGGGAGGCGGCGGCGGAGGGAGAAGTGGAGGGCGGCGAGGGCGAGCGCGAGAGAGGTGAGCGCGCCGACGGCGAGGAGAGGGGGGAGCAGCGCGCAGGACTGCGGGGGAGCGGCGGGCATTGCGCGCGTGCGGACTGGTAGGGAGTGGAATGTGCAGTGGGATTGGAGAGTAGCTGTGTTGTGGGGTTTTCCACGATGCAAGCTTGACATGTGTTATTGCTTGGAATGCAGGATGAGAAGAGGCTACAAGAATGTTTAACCTTCCAACTTATCTTAAATACATTCTTAAGCACAAAAACTGTGGTGAACAAACATGAGGGAATTCTCTTAGTAGCACACACTGCTTGTTACTTCTTAGAAAGAATAGCAGTACACTCTGCACATAGAAACAACGGCACAAGAAAACGTCCTTTACAAACGACTGAGCTACCGGTATGTTACAAAGCACCTCCCTTCCTTTCCCCTCCCCATCCCTACCCACTCCGCCCATGCACGGAGCGCCACGTGCGGGCCTTCTCAAAGCCGTTCACCCCGCGGCAGTAGTCACTGAGAGCCTGCTGGATCTCGTCCTCTGTGTTCATCACAAAGGGACCGTACTGCACCACCGCCTCGCCTATAGGCTGCCCCGCTATCAGCACAAAGCGGCACTCCTCAGCGCCGTTGTTCCACACGTGCACGCCGTCCCCCGCCCCCAGCACCACCGTGTGGTGCGCCCCCGTGGGCTCAGTCCCCCTCTCCCCGATGCTGGCGGTGCCAGACAGCGTGTAGATGAAGGCGTTCCACGCGGTGGGGAGCGGTTGCGCGAGGTGCGCGCCAGGGTCGAGGTGGAAGGAGAGGTAGGAGGTGGGTGTGCGGGTGACGACGGGGGAGGAGACGCCGAGGGCGGTGCCGGCAATGACGGCCACGTGCACCCCGTTGAGGGATGCCTTGGGAATGTCAGCGTCCTTTAGCTCCTGGTAGGCCGATTGCACCCTGGCAGAGCGGAGGGGGGGGGAGGGGTTGGTGGGGGAGGGGGAGAGGGAGGGGGAGGGGGAGGGGGAGGGGGAGGGGGAGGGGGGAGAGAGAGGGGGAGGGGGAGGGGGAGAGGTTGAAGTTGGGGGCTGTGCGATGCCTTGGGGATGTCGGCGTCTCTTAGCTCCTGGTAGGCTGACGGCACCCTGGCAGAGGGGACGCGGGGAGGAGAGTGGGGAGGAGCTGGGGCGGGGGGAAGGGGGGGGAGAAGGGGTTGTGGACGGTGGACAACACAGCGAGGTGGTCCCTGCAATGACAGCCACGTGCACACCGTTGAGGGATACCTTGGAAATATCCTCGTTCCTGAGCTCCTGGTAGGCCGATGGCACCCTGGCAGGCGGAGGGCCAGGAAGGTGGGGGAAGCACAAGAGGCGGGTGGTAGAGAGGTGGTTGAGCATGGCGCGATGGGATGAGAGGCAGCCGATGCACACAGGGGAAGAGAAGGCACACGGAAACAAAAACCCCCGCCCTCCCGTGCTCACATTTTGTCTTTAGCCGCCAGGTTGACCCAGAGCTGCAGCCCGTGTGTGGGGCCCTCTCCTGGCATCTCCGAGTGCACCACGCCCCTGCCAGCTGTCATCCACTGATTGGCCGCAGCAGCACGGGCAAGAGAGCAGGGGCGGGGCGGAGGGAAGGGTGTAAGGTTGCAAGCAGGTGGCACGGAGCCCTGTGCAACACACAAACGCACACACGCGCAACGCACACATGCACACACATGCACACACATGCACACACATGCACACACATGCACACACATGCACACACATGCACACACATGCACACACATGCACACACATGCACACACATGCACACACATGCACACACATGCACACACATGCACACACATGCACACACATGCACACACATGCACACACATGCACACACATGCACACACATGCACACACATGCACACACATGCACACACATACACACACATGCACACGCACGCACGCACACACGCACGCACGCACGCACGCACGCACGCACGCACGCACGCACGCACACACGCACGCACCCACCCACCTGCACGTCCCCCGCGTGCAGCTGCCCCTTGTGGCCGTTGAAATCCTCGTGCACGAACGACCCCTGCTCACGCACACGCGCACGAGCGGCAAGCATGGCCATGACATGGACATGAGACACCAGCTCTGAAACACTGTGTATAAACGAGAATTACAGCCAACGCCCGATGGAAGGGCGGTCGGCTTTTTAGCTGTTGTGGAAAGATTCTGAAGCGAAGGGTGGCAGCGTGAGTCATATCCATCTGAAGCAGGAAGCGACCCACCTGAAGAAGATAAGCGACCCACCTGAAGAAGATAAGCGACCCACCTGAAGAAGATAAACGACCCACCTGAAGAAGATAAACGACCCACCTGAAGAAGATAAACGACCCACCTGAAGAAGATAAGCGACCCACCTGAATAAGATAAGCGACCCACCTGAATAAGATAAGCGACCCACCTGAATAAGATAAACGACCCACCTGAAGAAGATAAGCGACCCACCTGAATAAGATAAAAGACCCACCTGAATAAGATAAGCGACCCACCTGAATAAGATAAACGACCCACCTGAAGAAGATAAGCGACCCACCTGAATAAGATAAAAGACCCACCTGAATCAGGTAGGAGACGGTTTCAAAGCCTCGGTGGGGGTGGTCTGGAAAGCCTGCTGCTGCGTTCTCCGCTGCCAGCAGGCACGCGGACGGTGCGGGGCGCAGGGTCGCGGGGGTTCAGAGGGGAAAGTGGGGGCATGAGGGGGAGTGGGGGCAAGCGGGGACGAGAGGCGGATGGGAGATATGGTGGAGGAAAAGAGCCTATGGTGGCATAAAACCGACGGTCGCATGGATGATGGAGCAGGTCAGGGCGTGGCGGCGGCAGTGGGGGTAGCGGGGGAAGGGGGACGTGCCGCTGAGGCCGGGGCGCGCGGGAAAGAGAGCGGAGGGAGAACGGGCAGCAGAGCAGGGGCGGGGGGAGCAGGGGCGGTGGGAGGAGGGGCGGGGGGAGCAGGGGCGCGGGGAGCAGGGGCGCGGGGAGCAGGGGCGCGGGGAGCAGGGGCGCGCGTACCTTTGAACTCGTCGAGCATGAGGAAGGGGTCCAGCTGCCGCAGCTCCGGCCTGCGCGCGCACGCACCGCAGGGAAGCACGGCACGGGAAAGCGGGCGGAAGGAAGGGAAACGGAGTTGAAGACGGTGAAGCAAGGTTGCACGTTGCAGCGGCATAACTTGAATTTCCCGTTTGCAAAACGGCGACGTACTCCCTCTCACTGCGACTCCAACTCTCCTCTCCCTGTTCCACTCTGAATTTCTTTTCCCCCGTTCACCGCTGCACCTGGCCCCACTCCGCTTGCTCGTCCCCCGCCACGGCTCCTCATCTCCCGCCGCCCGACACGCCCCGTATAAACGAATTCCACAGCCCCAACCATCTTCGCCCGTACGGCGAGGCGTTATAACCCACCTGCCGATGCTGCGCCTGACGCGCGCCCCCGCGCCTTCCGCCTGCTCCCGCGACAGCAGCTTGCGCACGGCCTTCCGCGGCTGTTGAATCTCCGCCGCCGCTGCTCCCGCGCCCGCTGCCGCACTGCCCGCTGCTGCCACTGGAGGTGCGGCGGCAACGGCGGCCATGGCGAACGGGTGGGCGGAGGGAAATAGCTCAGAACGTACAGAAGCTGGTAGGGTGACTCGCGCTACGGGAGTGGCGGCAGGAGATGCGGGAGTGCGGAACGGAAGGCAGAAGGAGCGGAAAGCCTTGCCCTTGAGAAGCGCGGAAATCATGGAGATGCACGAAGTCGATGCTCGTTGCTGACTGGACGCGCGTTTGTGTGGATTTCAACGAAACGCATGGCGCGACGTGGTTAAATACCCAGGCGAATGAGTCGCCAGCCATGGCTACCAAGCACTATGCGATCCGCCGAAACCTTACTTTCTTGGACACTTCGCGGAACGTACGCAGGTCATAACAGAAGGCTCCAGACGAAGCCGTCTTAGGTAAACTCGATAACAACGAAAAAAATGTCGGAAAGGGGAACTACATGTGTTTCGCTATTGCAATTGACCTCATATCATCGAGATCTGAAAATCAGAACATCAGGTCACTTAGGTCTGGCAAAGTATAGTTTGCTGCGAAACCTTCGCCACCTGCGAAAATGTCGCAAGAATTGGCCCCTATAAATTTTCGCAGAAGCTAAGGACGCGTCACAATTGCAACACTGGGGTAGATCGGCTCCAAACACCGAAAATGTGTGCATCGCCAAGCGAAAAACGTGTTTCAATCTCTGTGAGCAGTGTCGGTTGCTTCCCCGAGCCACTTGGGACAAGGCCGGCATTGTAGGTGGTTGACCTCCATGCCAGCTTGTACACCCAGCTGCTGCATGCGTGTCGCAATTTTTCGCTGGCGCGTCACAAATTTTCGCCATGTTTCTGACGACGCGCAGTATGATGATGTTTCGTCGTCGTTATTATCGAACTGTTACCCTATCGAAACTGGCCGACAGTATGCGACGGCGATCGATCGTGCCCATCACTGGTGGCGCGATTTTCGTTTCCCACGCTGCCAATCCCACGATCGATGTGCCATCTCAACCATTCGATCTCGTCAATCGGAAAGTGCCCGACAGATTCGGCAACGTTAAACGAAAAATAAACGAAACGGGGATACGAGGATACATAGCGTTTTCGAATTGGCGAAGACACTGTACATTGTGAATACCGATCCCTCACAGGATCGGTGTTGCAGTTGACGCGTCCTAAGCTCCACGCTCCACGGCCCTAGCAGTTCCACACCCTAGAACTTCGCGGTACCGCATTTGCTTCTTCGCGACCCCTTATTCATATAGAAAACCTAGGTCGCATTGCCAATTATTTTTTTTCCGAATTCAGGGTCGTTGTGTACCGTGCAGTTGTCAGAACCGCTCTGCTCTCCCGCATCCATCTCCGGTTCCCCGCTTCGCTTCTTCCTCGCGACCATCTCCTCCCCTGCCTCGCCTGCGGTCCCCTCGCCCGGCGGCCGCGCGCATCTGACCCTCGTCGCCAGCACCTGCCGGGACTGACATCGCACGCCGGTTTGCACGCGATCCGGGCTCCGGTATATGGGCCTGCCCATGGGCTCCACTGGCCCTGCTACTGTCGGAGCACGTGGTGGCCGTCGGCCGAATGTGCTTATAACGGGTACACCTGGCACGGGAAAGACGTCGACGAGTCAGCTGGTGGCGGAGGCGACGGGTCTGCGACACGTGAACGTGGGCGACCTTGTGCGACAGAAGGAGCTGCACGACGGGTGGGACGACGAGTACGACTGCTTCGTGCTGGACGAAGATAAGGTAGCGACGAGCAGCATGCGATGGACTGGGTCTGGATGAGCCGTACGACGAAGATGGGATTGCGAGTAGGGTTGCAACGCTGTGAAAGCAGAGTCGCTTCAGGGGTTTCGGGGTTTGAGCAATTGAACGGAGTTGTGCTTCCACCCTTGCTCACACGTTCCCCTTCCCTGCCTTACCCTCTCCTCCCTGTCCCCTGTCCCCTCGCACCCCACCCCTTCCCCGTCAGCCTCTGCCTTCCCCACCTCCTCGGCCCCGACTGCACCACTTCCCCACATCCTCCCCATCCCTCCCTTTCTGCCCTGCTCTCCGCTCATCCTCACCTTCTCAGTCCATCCTCACCTTCTCAGTCCATCCTCACCCTCTCCGCCTATCCTCACCTTCTCCGCCCATCCCTACCCTCTCCGCCCATCCCTAACTCTCTCCGCCCATCCCTACCCTCTCCGCCCATCCCTACCCTCTCCGCCCATCCCTAACTCTCTTCGCCCATCCCTACCCTCTCCGCCCATCCCTAACTCTCTCCGCCCATCCCTACCCTCTCCGCCCATCCCTAACTCTCTCCGCCCATCCCTAACTCTCCCCGCCCATCCCTACTCTCTCCGCCCATCCCTAACTCTCTCCGCCCATCCCTACCCTCTCCGCCCATCCCTAACTCTCTCCGCCCATCCCTACCCTCTCCGCCCATCCCTACCCTCTCCGCCCATCCCTAACTCTCTCCGCCCATCCCTACCCTCTCCGCCCATCCCTACCCTCTCCGCCCATCCCTACTCTCTCCGCCCATCCCTACCCTCTCCGCCCATCCCTAACTCTCTCCGCCCATCCCTACCCTCTCCGCCCATCCCTACCCTCTCCGCCCATCCCTAACTCTCTCCGCCCATCCCTACCCTCTCCGCCCATCCCTAACTCTCTCCGCCCATCCCTACCCTCTCCGCCCATCCCTACCCTCTCCGCCCATCCCTAACTCTCTCCGCCCATCCCTACCCTCTCCGCCCATCCCTAACTCTCTCCGCCCATCCCTAACTCTCTCCGCCCATCCCTAACCTCTCCGCCCATCCCTACCCTCTCCGCCCATCCCTACCCTCTCCGCCCATCCCTACCCTCTCCGCCCATCCCTACCCTCTCCGCCCATCCCTAACTCTCTCCGCCCATCTCTACCCTCTCCGCCCATCTCTACCCTCTCCGCCCATCTCTACCCTCTCCGCCCATCCCTAACTCTCTCCGCCCATCCCTACCCTCTCCGCCCATCCCTAACTCTCTCCGCCCATCCATTCCATACCCTCTGTCTCTACCATCGCTCTCTCAGATCTGTTACTGTTCGCAACCATCCGCCCCCCCACTCTTCCCTCCTCTCCCCTCTGACTCTGTGCGCGGGGAACATGAGCGCAGGTGGTGGACGAGTTGGAGGAGAGCATGGGTGCGGGGGGCGTGCTGGTGGAGCACCACTCATGGGACTTCTTTCTCCTTCCTGTTGCACTGCCGTGGGCGCGGGGAACATGAGCGCAGGTGGTGGACGAGTTGGAGGAGAGCATGAGCGCAGGGGGCGTGCTGGTGGAGCACCACTCGTGCGACTTCTTCCCCGAGCGCTGGTTCGACCTCGTCGTCGTGCTGCAGACCGACAACTCGCTGCTCTACGACCGCCTCAGCGCCAGGTGATCACCTCCGTGTCTGTGTGTGCTCGCACTCTCTGTCTCCTCTCTCTCTCTCTCTCTCTCTCTCTCTCTCTCTCTCTCTCTCTCTCTCTCTCTCTCTCTCTCCCTCCTCCCCCCCCCCCCCCCCCCCCCCCTCTCTCGCTCTGTCTTTTCTTTCACTTCCTCTCTTTCTTCTTGACGATTTTGTTGTCAAATCGCTTGGTGCTTGAGAGGTCCCACCTTGTGCATTCTAACTGCAGTTCAAGTGATCAAGTATGTGCCCTCCCGTTATCCCCCCTTTCCCATTATACATCCCTTCCCCTGAACTCGTCAGGGGGTACACAGGCAAGAAGCTGCAGAGCAACATGGAGTGCGAGATCATGCAAGTGCTGCTCGAGGAGGCCAGGGACAGCTACAAAGAGTCTATAGTGCACCCCATGCAGAGTGATTCGTTAGAGGATATGGAGAGGAATGTTGCAACAATAAAACAGATGGTGGCACAGTTGGAAGAGGGCGGATAGTTGAATGAAAAGCTTGCAGTATGTCGTGCTTTGCCTTGTTACATTGTTATTTTGTGGTGTAGCCTTAAAAAACGTAGAATTTACAAAAGAGGGTGCACCTGACAAAGGCATAACGTCATCGCCTGGATAGTAGGCGTGTACTATGGTATATCCCATCCACCAGGGTGGTGAAAAGGAGACTCATAACATTCAGTAGATAAGAAACTCCAAGATAAAAACACATTCTCTCATCTCATCCTGTTGGAGGGAACTTGGTGGCGGGGAGGTTGTATGCCCCCAGCCCACCCCAATTAGTACAACTTCCTGCCAAGCAGAGGACACACCTCTACGGTACATACCACAGTATAGACCACCCACCCCCCCCCTCCCCCCCCCGTTATTCACTTTTCCGCAAGGCAGCCACTCTGTTGAGACGCAGCTATCACTGTTCGAAGCGCTGCATCAGGAAGAGGGCCGCTGACGCAGCACGTGACACTCTGGACGCGACACATTCGTCACGCTTTCCTACGGGTTCCACAAGGGTTGAGAAAGGTCTGGAGAGGTACCGCAGCTCTCTCTCGACAGCGTGACTTATGGGAATCGTTCCCTCGTTGTGTCGCAATGCAACGTGCCGTCGTGCATTTCGCCTTTTCAAGCTTCAGAAAATAACAAAACGCATGTTCCATTCCCTTCCCTTCCCTTCGCTCGTTCATGGTTCCCTCTGTTTTCTCCCTTCGCTTTGAATCCCTCACGTTTCCTCTGTGTGCAGGCGTCCTCATCCCGGCGCGTTCGCCTCGTAACCATATTACTGTCCAGCAGTCCCAGGCCACCAGGTGCGGATAGTAGCTGTGGCTAAGACCGGCCACCAGGTGCGGGAATGGCCACTCTTTTCTCTCTGTCTGTTCATGTGTATGCGTGCATCATGGTCTCTTCGCGCCTGATCCGCTTAATCAGACAGTTGGGGGTGATTACGCCTTGATATTTTCCAGCCAATTTATTCTCAGCAACTTCCAAGCACTCTGCACATCCTCGTTTCTTAACGCATGTTCCTCTGCTGCCCTCATGGACCCCGATTCCTTCCTTATCATCCCTATTCCCACCCACTCGTCCCCCTCCCCTCCCCCACCTCCGGATTACTTCCTTGGATGTAATCTAAGTTTCACCGAATTCAACCTTCCCATTCCTGATTGCAGCGAGAGTTATTCCGAGACTAGAATGTGGTGGCGCAATGTGGAGGCACATGGCGGGACGTATCCCACCTGAACAGTCGTAGGGCGTGCGAGCGTGAGACTGCGCAGGGGAGAGATGAGGAGCAGCACAAGAGAATGGAGAGCGAGCATAAGGGCGTTGCGAGTGGCAGCAGTGACATGGCGACTGGGTTGTTAGGACACGGACTGGCTATGGAGGGGGAAGTGAATACGATAAGGAGGCTAGATACAGTAGAAGCGGTAAAGAGGCTCGCGGCTGTGGATCAGGCAGTGAGGCTTGACTCACATGAATCGCCTGAATCACCTGACGAATCACCTGAAGGATCATCTGGGACGCCCAAGAAGGCACCTGCATCGCCTCAGAAGCTACCTCCGTTGCTGCAAAGGGCAGCTGGTGAGGAGGAGGAGCGGACAGTAATGGAAGGGGGCGCTCACGGTGATGGTGGTGCACACGAGGCGGGGAGAGAGGAGGGCGGAGGAGGGGAGCAGGGGGAGCAGGAGGAGAGGATGGAGATTGATGTTGTTGAGGCGGTGGTGCGTGGGGCGACGGGTAACATTGATGTGATTGTGCAGAACGACTCCAGTAGCACGGGCGTGCATGCACGTGGTGGTGGTGCTCGGAAGAGCACAGGCTTGGGAGCGGCTGCTGGTGGTGGTGGTGGTGGTGGTGGTGGTGGTGGTGATGGGAGTGGGAGTGGGAGTGAGGGGGAGGGGAGGAAGGCAGGGAGTGGGTGGGAGAGTGCATTGGGGGGCAGGAGGCGGAGCATGCGTGCCAGTGCTGTGCTCGCCATGGCCAGGATTTCCGGTAAAGGGGCAGGCGCAGGCGGAGCAGGGGGGGGAGGAGGAGGAGGCAAGAACAGTAATCCCCATAATCACGCTCACTCGCACGCCAAGCCTCAGAATGCTATTTCGGGAACAGGAGCAGGAGGAGGGAGAGGAGGAGCAGGAGTGGCAACAGCAGGAGCAGCAGCAGGAGCAGCGGGGGGAGCAGGAGCAGGTGGAGCAGGAGCAGGTGGAGCAGGTGACATGGACGTGTGTGTGGGTGAGCTAGCAGTGGTGAATGAACCGTTTGAACTCCAATTCAATTCCCGCATCTGCTCTCCCGCTGCTGCTCCTGACTGCACTGCCGCTGCTCCTGCCACCGCCGCCGCTACTGCCACTGCTGCTGCCGGTACTGCTGCCAGTGGCAGTGGTGCCTGTGGTGGCGGTGGTGGTGGGAGTGGGAGCGGAGGAGCAGGGAGTCACTGTGCGAGTCAGTCTAGAGCCGGATCCAAGTCGGGAGCGAGGTCAGGCGGAGGATCAGCAGGAGGGGCAGGTGAACCAGAGTATGGAAAGGGCACATTCCCCTGGTGTGTGATGGATCAGTGGTACTGGGAGTGGGGGCTCTATGGCTGGGACGATAGCTCCCAAGGGGGTGCCAGAGCGGGTGCTGCTGCTGCTGGTTCTGGTGGTGGTGGTGCGTCTGGGGGGAGTATTCTGGGTGGGAAGAAAGGGATAGGGATTGGGACTGGGGGAAGACGGGGAGCGGGAGGAGGGACCAAGGGCGGTGCGAGTGGGGGAGGAAGTAAAGGGGGGGCGAATGGTGAGGCGAAGAGTAAGGGAGTGGGGGATGTGGCGTGTGGGATCGGCGAGGAGATGGACATAGATGGGGTGGCTGGGGCGGAAGGGAGTGCGGTTACCGAGGTTACTGTGGTTAATGGAAGTACGGGAGTGACAGGGATAGATGTGGTTGCGAGGGAGGGAAGGGGCGGGAAAGGGAGTGATGGGGCTCCAGTTTTAGACGAGATAAGAGAGCAGCAGCAGAAGGAGCAGGGCGAGGAGAAGCAGAAGGAACAGCAGAAGGTGCAGCAGCGACAGCAGTTGCAGCAGCAAGAGGCGGCAGCACTAGAGGCAAAGTACATCCTGCGGGGAGTTAGAGCCACGAAACAAACCGCCAAGGCAGCAGCCCCCCACCCAGGCATGGTGGGCAGCCATCCCCCTCCCCCTGCACGGCCCACACCCACTGCTGCTGCTGCTGCTGCTGCTGCTGCTGCTGCTGCTGCACCCACCGTTGCAGCAAGCACATCTGATGCAAGCACTGACCCAGCCACTGCCGCAACTGCTGCAGCAGCCACTGCCACAAGCACCTCCCTCCCACCCGCCCCCGTGGCCCCGCCGCCCCCCCCCTGCTCCGTGTGCAAGGCAGCAGAGGACGCCACGTGCCTGCTGTGCGACGCCTGCGATGCCTGCTACCACCTGCGCTGCCTCAACCCGCCCGCTGAAGAGCCCCCCGCAGGGGACGAGTGGCTGTGCGAGGCGTGCGCGGAGGAGCAGTGGGAGCGGGGGAACGCTGTTGTGTTTGAGGATGAAGAGCTGTGGGCCAGACGCCACATGGTGGGCGCGGATGCGGGGGGGAGGGGCTTGGGAGGCGGAAGAGGGGGGGAAGGGTTTGCGTGGGAGTATGACTGGGAAGCAGATGCGGAGGGGAGGGCGGGAGGGGCGAGGAACGGGGGGATTGGGAGGGGAGGAGGGGAAGAGGGGAAGGGTGGTGGAGGAGAGAGTAGAGACAGAGGAGGAGAAACAGGAGTGGGGGGACGGGGAGGGGGGGAAGGGAAGGAGGGAGCGGCAGGGAGCAACGGGCAGCAACAGCAGCAGAAGCAGGAGGAGCAGGAGGGGGAGCAGGAGGGGGAGGGGGAGGGGGTGGCGGTGAAGAGGCGGGGGGGCATGCGGCCGTTGAAGTCAGGGCCGGAGGGGCAGGGGCAGTGGTTGCTGCGCGGCGAGTGGCTGGCGGCGCAGGGGCACATCCGCGTGGGCCCCATGTTCCAGGCCGTGGTGGGCGAGTGGCAGGGGGCTGAGGAGAAGGCAGTTGCGGAGAAGATGGAGAGGGATGGGCGCGGTGTGGATGATGAAGGACTGTACGTGCTGCTGCTGCTGCTGCTGCTGCCCACCCCTTGCTTCTTCTTCTCTTACCTTCTTCCCATCCCTTCTTCCTCCCTACTTTCCTGTCCGTTCAATGTCTCCCTACCCTCGCGCTACCCACTCTCGCGTTCTCATCCTTTGGAATGCGCATCTGTGCGTTTCCCTCCATGTTGATCAATTCAGTGTTCATCCCTTTGAGCATCAAGGCTGCTCCCAACCTTGAGCCGACCATCTCTGCTGCTTCTGCTTCTCTCCTTCCCACGCCCTTCTTCTTGTCCCTCCCCGCCCTGCTTCCTTCCGCTCCCTGCTTTGCGTCCCTCTCCTCCCCCCTACTTCCCCTGCCCGCCTGCGTGCCATCCGTGGGAGCAGCGAGCGGCCTGTGTTTGGGCAGGAGCGGGCGATGAGCGAGGAGGAGAAGGAGGCGGAGCTGGAAGCCATGAGGCAGCGCCTGGCAGAGGTACGAAGGCAGCGCCTGGCAGAGGTACGAAGGCAGCGCCTGGCAGAGGTACGAAGGCAGCGCCTGGCAGAGGTACGAAGGCAGCGCCTGGCAGAGGTACGAAGGCAGCGCCTGGCAGAGGTACGAAGGCAGCGCCTGGCAGAGGTACGAAGGCAGCGCCTAGGCAGCGCCTGGCAGAGGTACGAAGGCAGCGCCTGGCAGAGGTACGAAGGCAGCGCCTGGCAGAGGTACGAACACTGCTGCCAGTGCAGTTGTGTGGCTGCTGCATGCATGCATGACCGATGGGACTAGCAGCTGCAATGCAAGCATACAACTACATCCCCTCCTCCTTTGTCTCTCCCGCTCCTCCTCCTCTCCCCTCCTCGTCTCCCCGTGTTCTCTGCCAGAGCAAGTGGCCCATGGGCTGGCAGCCGCTGCGCAACCTGCCCGTGGCAGCGGAGGAGCGGTGGGAGCAGAGCAGGTCATTGCAAGCATACAACCACATCCAGTCCTCCTTTGGACTCTCCCCCAACCCTCCACCACTTTCTCCTCGTCCCACTCCTTCTCCTATCGTTCCCTGCTCCTTCTCTCCTCCTTCCCCTTTCCTTCCCCCTTCCTTTCCTCCTGCTTCTCCCGTCCTTCTCTCCTGTTCTCTTTCGCTCCTCCCCGGCTGTTCCCCTCACCCCCCAGAGCAAGTGGCCCATGGGCTGGCAGCCGGTGCGCAACCTGCCGGTGTCGGCAGAGGAGCGGTGGGAGCAGTGCGAGGGGATTCTGTACTATGAGGGCGATGTGCGCGCGGATGGCAAGACTGCCCGCAGGGACGTGGAGTGCGGCAAGTGGCGCAGGTGAGCGGCGCAGAGAGGGGGGCACGAGGTGGGAGGACGAGTTGGAGGGGCGATGATGGAGGGGCGATGATGGAGGGGCGACATGGGAGGGCACAACCCAGGGCGTTGGGGAGGAGGTGGAAAGGGAGGGAGGGAGGGGGTAGAAGAGGTGGGTTGGATGGAGCAATGGGTCAGAATTGATTGGGGTCACTGTGAAGGGACGTACTGGGCCTGTGTTTCCATGTCAGGGCATTGAGTGGGTTCGAGTGAGAGATCTAGTTTGGAAGTGCACTCTAGAATCCCGTCTCCTTCGCAGTTGCCCACTATTGTATGTGCGTGCACTCCATCACCACCCACCACCACACATTACCACCCATCACCACCCATTACCACCCATCACCACCCACCACCGCCCACTATGACGAGCATGGCATGGCATGGCAGGGTGCCGAGTGGGTTTGAGGTGGAGGACAAGTTTGAGTGCTCGTGTGCGCTCACCTTCGACCCTCACCATGCCGACTGCATGGTGCCACAGGTGCGTGCGCATGTCACTGCATGGTACCACGGGTGCGTGCACATGTCACCGCATGGTGCCACAGGTGCGTGCACATGTCTGTGCATGCTTGTGCATTCGTGCGCGCGCGCGTGTGTGGGTGCGTGCGTGCGTGCGTGCGCATGTGACTGCACGGTGCCACAGGTGCGCGCGCATGTGCGTGTGTCTGCATGCTTATGTGCTCGTGCGCGTGCGCGCGCGTGTGTGGGTGTGTGCGCGCATGTGTGGGTGCATGTCTGCAATTTCCTCCTCTTCTCCTCTCCGCTCCTCTCCTCCTCTTTCTCTACCGCGAATTGTGCAACAGGTGCATCTGCCACACCCCCCACTTTCCTCCTTTTCCCTTTTCTCCTCCCCACATCCCAACATCCTCCTAACACCCCCTCCTCCCCACGTCTCCTCCGCTCCACGTCCCCTCTGGGTGGAGCAGGAGCTACCTAAGAGGGACGTGGAGAGGAGGCTCAAGATGATAACTTTTGAGGCGCCTCAAAAGTCTCCACGTCTCCTCCTCCCCGCGTCCCCACTTTGTTGTGCAGGAGCTACCAAAGAGGGACTTGGAGAGGCGACTCAAGATGATATCGGAGCTTAAATTGCAGGTCCGGTGTCACAGGTCCGGTGTCACAGGTCCAGTGTCACAGGTCCGGTGTCACTCTCTCAACCCTCTCTCGCTAGACTAACTTTGATATGAGACATCTCAAACGAATCAGTCATCAAATTGTAGGTCTGTGGTCAATCTGTGAACCTTCTCTCACTATGTTAACGCTCTTTTGAGAGTCGTTTGATGAAGCCAACGATCAGGAGACTCTTTTGTTAGTCTTTAGTAATCTCCTCCTCCCCATGGCCCTTCCCTTTGTCTCTCTCTCGCCATGCAGAAGCAGCAGCAGGGAGCGGAGATGGGCGAGTGGAAGGAGCGGATGGGCGAGCTGAGGGCGTTCAGGGCGCAGCACGGCCACTGCCACGTGGCGCCCAGGAGCCCCCTGGGCGTGTGGCTGCAGAAGCAGCGCATGCTGCTGCGCCGCAACCGACTCTCACCCGTGCAGCGGGTGCGTGGCTGGGTGGCTGGGTGGCTGGGTGGGTGGCTGGGTGGCTGGGTGGGTGGGTGGCTGGCTGGCTGGCTGGGTGGCTGGGTGGCTGGGTGGCTGGGTGGCTGGGTGGCTGGGTGGGTGGGTGGGTGGGTGGGTGGGTGGGTGGGTGGGTGGGTGGGTGGGTGGGTGGGTGGGTGGGTGGGTGGGTGGGTGGGTGGGTGGGTGGGTGGGTGGGTGGGTGGGTGGGTGGGTGGGTGGGTGGGTGGGTGGGTGGGTGGGTGGGTGGGTGGGTGGCTGGGTGGGTGGGTGGCTGGGTGTTCCTCTTTTCATCCTCCAGTCCAACTCTCCTCGCCCTTACATCCCCTACTCTGTGCTATTCCCTCCTTTCCTCTCCTTCCCCTCCCCCTTCCCTCTCCCCTCCATCTCCTCCTCCTTCTCACCTTCTCCTCCACTTACTCATCCTATTCTCCTCTCCAACCCCCCAGCCCCTCTCTCCCCCTTCACCGCCCCCACACCCCTTAACCCCCCCCTTTTCTCCCCCTATGGCGATGACAGGAGGAGTTGCAGCAGCTGAACGTGACGATCAATCTGGAGGATGCACGGTGGGAGGAGAACTTTGCGGCTCTCGTGGAATTCAAGCGCGACTACGGCCACCTCAACGTCTCCAACGCGCCACACGCTAACACTCCCCCTCCTCCCACCGCCGCTTCTGCTGCTGCTGCTTCTGCTGCTGCTGCTGCTGCTGCTGGTGATGGTGCCAGTGCTGGAGCAGGGGCAGGGGGAGGGGGAGGAGGAGGGGGGACAGCAGGAGGAGCTGCTGCTGCTGGTGCTGTTGCTGCTGCTGCTGCTGGTGGTATCAGTGGCGGTGGCGTTAGCAGCAGTGGTGGAGGCAGCAGTGGTGGGCAGCAGCAGGGAGGAGGGAGGCTGAGGCGGGCGCAGGACTTGGCGCGGCTGAGCCAGTGGGTGAAGGCGCAGAAGGCCATGGCACAGCAGCCGTTCAAGGGGTAGAAGGCACTGCAGCGAATCTGCAGGCTCCTGGAGATTGGATTTGTTTTTTCGGAGGGCGATTCCTCCTCTTGAAGGGCGACCATGGCTGTGTGCCGCTGAGTGCTGGTAGCACTGGTGCCAGTGTTATCATGGGTCGAATGACTCGCCTTACTTGTTTCCAAAACAGAACTGAAGTCTGCTGAATGGAACTGATGGTATATTATGGTCGTGCAAATCTGCGCTTGGTGTGGCTGGAAGGGCTGATGTTTGAAAAAACTACGGGAGCAACATAAAGGGGTTTGTGGAACGTGGCAGGGGGGAAGAGCAGAAATGACTGGAAGTTTGGATTCACAGGCCTAACTTCGGTGAAAAGTACCAGCCATCATCATACGGTAGGGGGCATATCACATTGTATGCAAACTCAGTATCGCAACTGTTATGAGTTATCAAACGGAGTTTCGTGGAAAACGAATAACGAAGCTGTGACAATATGAATTGACGATGCTGTGATTATAGAGCGGGTCAACCTAGCTAGGCAGGAGCCTTGGGAACGTGAGGATGGGTGCCGGTTGGCTAAGGGACACCAAACACAACGCGATGTTGTTTTGGCAACAAGACCGAACGTGCACGTTCGAAAAGTGGGGGTTGTACGCGAAAAAGGGTTGCACTACAACCCCCCTCCCCCCCCCCCCCCCCCACTCCCCCCGCCCCCCCCCCCCCCCCCCCCCCCCCCCCTTCCCCCCCTCTCCCCCTAAGAAAAGTGGTCAACATCCGTGACACTGACATGCCTGCGGGCTAGGTGGTAATCGCGCAAGGCGGATGGCACCCAAGTGTTGTCCTCGCTGGTGCGGTCAATCTGGTCGCTGGTGTAGAAGATCCACGTGGCGCCATGTTGCGTCAAGTCGTACGAGATGCCCCAAAATCTTCGACAGGTCAAGCATTGGTTCAGGTATAGGTCGTGTTGATAGAGCAGCGTTTTAGCGGGCAATGTCTGTCATGGCAGCAACAAAGGGCTCCAGAAGGCTGACGTGGAACGCATCGTGCACACGCCAATCGTTGGATCGGGATTTTTGCCGAATGAGCTGCGCCAGCTCAGCTGGTACAGCTGCACACAACTTCTCAATGTCGTTTCCGTCTGTATTGGCTGCCAACTCGCGCAGATGAACGGCGTACAGCTGCGCACCCCTGTTGAAATGCCGTGTGATGCAAATCGCCTTAACACATGTGGACTCAATGGGGTCCGGAGTTCACGCGGGCAGAGTAATTAGCCCCTCGTGCTTGCTGATGCTGCAGGAGCCCGTCGTCCAGTCAATTATCGAGCTGGGACGCAACTAAGCGCGTCCTATGAGCATGTCTCAGCCATCCAATGTCGTCGCGAGAAACTTTATGCTGAAGTCGAAATTTTTGCCTCACTCAATCCGCACCGTCTATGTTTCCTCCAAAACCGCCACACGTGTCCCATCCACGAGGCGAGCGTCAATTCCTAGTAGACGCATGTCAAGAGGTAAATTCATTTTTTTTTTTTTTTTTTTCTGTCGCCAGGTTGTGCCGTCAACGAAATTTTTTTCTTTTCCTTTTCTTAACAACCGTGCCAACAAGCAGCGCAGGGTAATCCACATAATTATTCCCGTAAGTCATCCGAGTGTGATCGATTGCATGAACACAGAGCACAGTCAATAAGGGGCTTGTCTATTTGGTCCATTTCTGTTCCTCAAGGTGAAGGTACTGCAGCAAGGCCTCATTCGCCTCTTGGTCCAGCCCCTGGAGTGCGGTGTAGATGATCTCCTTCTCATCTACTTTGTAGTTTAACTCCTCTAAGGCCCTCACATACTCATCCACCCTCTAGAGGTACTGCACCATGATCTCCCCATCACCATAGTTGCCCTCCATGGTGTAGAACCGCTTCCTCGAGGTGAGTATGCTTAGGAGTCATTTCTACAAGCGCCGATCTTGAACTCTCTTCCATGCTTGGGCAGCTGCTCCTTGCTTCTCTTTTAGGTCAATCAACATCTTTACAAGCTCTAATTGGCCTTCCAAGGCCCAACACAGGTCCTGGAGCACTTGCTTGTCCTTGGGGTCCTATGCTTCATGTGCCTTAGGTAGCTCCTCCAAACTAGGCCGTTGCCTTCCGGTTCGCGTTGCTGCTGATCCGCCTCCGCTTCCCTCACTTATGGATGAGCTAGATGCTCCTTCAGCCCTTGCTCCGACTTGAATAGACAATCCAGCAGATGCCTTTCCTTCATCAGCTTCAGGTCTCCATAATAGGAGGGAATGTCGCTGGCCTAACCAACTCTGATACCACTGATGGAAAGCGCCCGAATCTGGAAAGCGAAGTAAGAGATTAAGTCTGCCGACTTCTGCGAACCATTGCGTGCACCTCACGTAACCTAAAAATATGAGCAGGTACGCGTTGAAAATGTCTTTATCGCATGGTAACGCCTTCAACCATCGCTATCGCAATTTAAGTGCGACGGGGTATCCTGCGAAATTACTTGGCAGCCATAGATTAGATCTAGAGAATAGATATATTTAGAGTCCAGATTTCAAAAGTGACGAGTTTGACAAACCCTACAATCCCAACCCTCGACCTATAATGATCCACAACAACCCAAAGTGCCAAACTAGTAGTACAAAAGATGTTGTAGTGGATAGCAAAGGCTTGTTTGTGCTTGTTGGGTGCGAGTTCAAGTCCAGCCTGCAACAAGTCTAGCATCCATAATTGCCCAAGCCCTTAGCCACAACCTGTTGGAGCAAAATATCACAACCACCAACACAATTAAGAGGCGCATCAGCCCGGATCGCTACAGCAAACCGGCCACCCTCGAACCTTTTTTGATAACCTGTTGACATCTTATCAAAGAAAAGGGCTGTTGAAGCTCAATCTCAGCGAATGACCGCCGAACAACATTTTTGGTCCACGAAATTTTTAAATGTCGCCGCGTTCCAAGAACCATCTTCTTTTAGCAATTTTGCGCATCACTGATGAGTGCATGGTGCAGCCTCCAAAGGGTGCATCGTGTGCACATCACTGGTGCTCGCCCGCAAAATCATGGTGCGAAGGTGTCGTGAACCCGGTGATAGGCTTCCACGAAGCCCACGACATTTTGCATTTCACATGTCCAATCTCAATGTCCGCTTCATCCATCAGCCCTGGCCATCCAGGCTGATGCGCCTGCCGAACTAGGCCGAAGTGGGCTGAAGGGAGTTTTGTATGGAAGAAATTGGTTGGGGGGAGGGACAAGCAAAAGAAAAGGGGCTGTATGGGGGAACGGAGACTGGGCAGATTGGGCGAAAGAGCGGGTACAATGGGCAGGAGAGCAAAAAAACGTGACATGTGCAGATTCAGCATTGATTCTCACCCGCTATCACACGAAAATTTCAACGTACACTGAAGGGAAAAGGCTGAAAAGGCAGACAAAGTACGAATAAAAACGCTGAAAAATCTGCATTTATATGCTCTAGGCTGTAGTGGGGCACTTCTTATGGGGTACAGCCCAATTAGGTTTTGCATATACAAACCCTGTACTGCTATCATTCTAGTCATCTTTGATTCCTACTTTCTGACATGGTTTCAGAGCAGGTTCCCTAGTGGGAACGTTTTTTTTTTTAGGGCCCACCACGATATTTTTTTTTTCCTACCCTGCCCGAAGCGCGCCTCGCGCCTGCCTCACCTGCGCCGTCGCGCGCCCTGCCCTACTGCCGCCCGTTGCGGCCCTGCCCTCCCGACCCATCGCGGCCCTGCCCTAACGGCCCGTCGCGACCCTGACCTAGCCGCCCGTCGCGGCCCTGCCCTGTCGCCGCCCGTCGCGGCCTGACCCAGCCGCCCGTCGCGGCCCTGCCTTGTCGCCACCCGTCGCGGCCCTGCCCTCAGCCGCTCGTCGCGGCCCCGCTCTACCGCCGCCCCGTCGCGGCCCTGCCCTGCAGCCGCCCTGTCGCGGCCCTGCCCTGCTGCCGCCCCGTCGCGGCCCTACTCTACCGCCGCCTCGTCGCGGCCCTGCCCTGCTGCCGCCCCGTCGCGGCCCTGCTCTGCTGCCTCGTTGCAACCCTGCCCTCACCGCCAGTCGCGGCCCTGCACTGCACCCGCCCCTGGTAAGCGCCCGCCTTGCCAAGCGCGCCGCTGCGCCCGCCTGCCTGCCGCGCCGCGCCGCCCAGCCAAGCCGCGCCGCCCTGCCAAGCCACGCTGCCCTGCCCTACTGCTACTGCTGCTGCTACTGCCGCCATGGCTAGCCCTACTGTTCTTACCTTCGATGCTGAGGGTCGTGCGGTCGATTTCGAAGTTTGGGTAGATGACCTGCAGCTCTATCTTCAGTGCGACTCTAGGGACGGAGTCTCGTTTTTCGATCACACGTCCGGCGCCTCTGTTGCACCTGCTGCCGATGCTGACAGTACGGTTCTCTCACAGTGGACTACTCGTGACGCTGTTGCTCGCCTTGCTATTCGTAGTCACCTGCCGTCTGCTGAGCGCGCGCACTTTGGCCAGTACAAGACTGCTAAGTCTTTGTATGACGCTGTCGTCGCACGCTACTCCTCCCCTGCCTCTGCTGCCCTCAGCCGCCTCATGCTGCCGTACTTGTTCTTTGACCTGGCCGCCTTTGCCACAGTCGCTGACCTCATCACTCACCTCCGCACTAGTCACACCCGCTACAGCGCTGCGCTTCCCTCCGAGTTTCGCGCCAAGAACCCCCCCCCATGTACATCACCCTCTTCTACCTCGTCACCTATCTCCTTGACTCTCTTCGCTCAGTCAGGGACCATTTTCTCTCCCTTTGCCCCACCGAGCTCACTGACGACCTGCTCGAGGAGTGCCTCACTGCAGCTGAGACTAGCATAGTCGATGTAGGAGCTTCTCGCGGTGACCCTCGCGCCCCTTTCTTTGAGGGGTGTTCCCCCGTTCCCCTTTTGCCCTCTGTTGCTTCTGCTGCTCCTGTCGACCTCGTTGGCACCGAGGAGGTCGGGGCTGCATCTACTCCTAGTGGGAGGGGCCGCAGCGGCAAGGGCAAGGGGGGCAAGGGTGGTGGAGG